GACTAGATGGGCTTTTATGACTTTTATTTCAAGTCCATTTGTTATTTGCTGCCAGAATTCTCCCAAGGAATGCAGACAAGAAGTGGTAAATGGTGATTAATTTAGACAACCTAAGCAGAGGAATCATGACGGGCTCCCCATGTAATACAAGAAAGTTAACGGCTTGCTGATGTCCTTTTGTGAGTGAATTGTGTAGCCTGGTTGTTTAATGGAGTGTTTAAAAATTGTGTTGGCACTAGCCTATGAATAATGTATAATGAAATACCTTACTGCTAAGAAACTGCTGATATGCTGGGGAAATTTCCATCAGATGTGAGAACAATTTTGAAGGCACTGTCTTCTTGGGATGCCCTTTATTTATAGCCTCGCTGCTTCAGAGGTTGCATTCCCTTTTTAGATACTGCATGTGAAGATGCCCTCCACTGCCTCTGCCTCTGTCTTCCAGCTTCACCTGAATCCATTTGCTTGTGTCTGCAAAAGCTCTGGAATTTTGATGCGATTAGGCTTTATTACCTGAACACCGTAAGCATGGAGTATTTGCTGTGCAGTCTACATCTGTTCAAGGTGTCTGCACCAAGGTACTCTGCATGAAAGGAAGACAGACACTGGTTTTGTGTCATGGCAGTGTCCCATGATGCAGGAAGCAGAAATAGGGTCAAGTGATTTGGAAAAAAAGACCAGTTGGACTTCACAATGTGAAATCATCTTTGATGCCTCTATATTTCCCCCCCCGTGTCCTCCCTCCAGTGCATGAGGCCTCTGTGTGCTTTGGTCATGAGTAGTGGGAAGTCACTGTGATACTAAGCAACTAAATCTTGCTTGACCAAAAGAGTGAGAAGGTTTGAGAGTGAACTCCTGCTTGCAGGGAAGCTCTGGAGGTTGCACTGCCTGAGGTGCAGGAGGAAACAGGCCTCTTGTTAGATCCTGGGATGTAGCTCAGGCTAACAGGAGGCAGTTACAGTCTCTTCCTTTGCTCCTTGTTTTGGTCCTCAGCTGCTCTCCAGGGGAAAATAAAATCATAGCTTTGTTCCTCATGTGGGGTTGTCCCCACCTGCACTGAAATACAGAAATATGTCATGAGGGCAAATGTTCACAATACCACAGAGTGGTCTCAGCTAAGTGTATGCCAAGAGCAGACCCAGCTTGTGGACATAGCTCTGTGCCCTGCCTCTGCTGTGGCTTTGTAATGAGTAGGCAAGTGCTCCTGCTGCATTTTTGTGTCTAGATTTACACAGTAGAGTCCTGAGTCAAAACATTTCCTGCAATATGGGCACTGTGTTATTAGTATAATGCCAGAACAATGCAGCATGTGGTTAATGTTGCTGTTCATCAGCCGAGGAAGTGACATCCTCACCTGGGAGGTTGATGTGATGGGTTTCAGGGTCATGTGATGATGCTAACTGCAAGCTCTGGGCATGAGGCTACAGGGCAGGAGAAAGAATGGGTTAGAAGAGAGGTTGTATCCTCAGGGTGATCTGCAACTGGCTAAGCAAGAGGGTTTGCCAAAATGGCAGGGAAGACTTGTGCTTTTACTGCCTTGTTTGCTGCTTGGATATATCTGGGGGTGCAGCATTTTCACAGCTCCAGGAAATGTGTATAAAAGGGATTAGTCTAAACACAAGATAGGTGGCAAAGAGCACCAGAGGAATTTGACTGATGGCCTAAATGTTTTTGGTAGAACAAGTAAAGAGAGAAGGTATCTAAAACTTCCTCCAAATCCACCACCTGCCAGCCAAGAAGTATTTTCAGCAGAGAGAGTCGCAAAGGTCTAGGCTGAGAATCATGGGCAAGTTCAACCAGCATTTCTCAGGGTAGAAACACTGCTAGCTGACAGTATACAGGAAAGAGCAGTTTTCAAAAGGAAGGAGACAGTTCTGTTGTTAAGTTTGTTCCACTGATGCTTTTGATGATCCCATTAATTTATAATTTTGTAATGTTTGTTTTCTTTAGGTGAAGAGCGAAGGCCCCAAACTGGTGCCCTTCTTTAAAGCCACTTGTGTCTATTTTGTCCTCTGGCTGCCAACTTCCAGCCCCTCCTGGTTCAGTGCCCTCATTAAATGTCTGCCCATCTTCTGCCTGTGGGTTTTCCTTCTGGCTCATGGAATTAACTTCTTAGTGTCACACCGGAGTGCCAGCCGCATCCTAGCGGGACTCATATTCTCGGCAGTGGGAGATGCCTTTCTCATCTGGCAGGAGCAGGGCTACTTCGTTCATGGTGAGTATGTTGGCAGTCCTAAGGGGATGCCACAGTGTCCAACTGTTATCCTCTTTATTTAGTAGCAAGTTGCTCGCCCACATGTTTTGTTTATTCACGGACAGCTTAAACCCTTGGGACTGGGAAGCACTCATCCCTTAGCTAAAATCCATCATGGTTAGAGGAGTCACCATGGATGAGTCTTTCTTTTGAGCTTCTCTTTAGGTTAGAGAGGTAACTGGGTCAGGTTTGGTTTCCTGGCATGTGTTACAGCATCTCAGCTGGATGGAGCTGAGAAGAGGACATGCCAGAATCCCTGGGGAAGAGAAGGAAATGCTCATGGCATTCGTCAGCTCTCATGAAGCTATGGGAAGTATCCTACCTATTCAGATTAGTTGTTAGGAATTTTTTTTTCCCTGTTAGGGTGGTCAGGCACTGGAGTTGATTGCCCAGGGAGGTTGTGAAGTCACCATCCCTGGAGGTGTACAAGAAGCATCTGGATCTGATGCAGGAGGATATGGTTTAGGGTTACAGCAGAGTGACTAATGGTTAGACTTGATGATTTTAGAATTCTCTTCTGACCTTGATGATTCTACGATTCTACCTCGTATCTCCCTCTGCAAGGATATCTGTCAGTCCTTTCCTATAAGGATCAGGTATAGGACACATTATGTAAAGGTCCTCAGTGGAGAACAGGTGGAGAGGACCTTTATGTTTTGATAGACAAGCCCATAGCCTGGGGGAGGTGTTTAAGTTAAGCCAGAAATGATAGCATCAGAAATCTTGCCCTGCTTGCAGGTTGATCAGTATGAATCATGATCAGCCTGTTGTACAAGACATGTCTGTTTTGCAAGACCTGTAAATGATGGTCAGTCAAGGTAAACCTTACCACAATGGTCTGTCTTCTCTACAGAAAGATCCGCATCTCTCAGAGCAGAACAAGCTTGGTTTATTTTGCTAGTTTGCAGACTGGCATATAATGATTGAGATTAATCATTTAAAGCCACGTCGAACCTGCCTGCAGCAACGCTCTCCCTGGCCTTGGTCTGTCACAAGAAATCAGCAGTAGTTGAGTCCTTCAGTAAACTGACTGGGGGGGGTTCTCAAGTTAATTTAACCAGCAGAGGGATCTCACATAACACCCACCATTAACTGGCTGCTCTGACTGTCCCGATGGAAAATGTGATGAGATGAGGGAACTTTTCTGACTTGTGCTGTTGTCAGCTCTGAAAGTCAAAGGTTTATTTTTTCCCCCTCTCATGAGGTCAGTATTTAGGTTTATTCTGGGATTCCCACAAGCTTTCTTTATGAGAGGGAAGTGTGTGCAGTGCCAGATATGAAAGGCCAAATGCTCTGAATCTGGTTTTAATCCTGCTTCCCAAGGGTTTATCCCAATCTCATTAAAAGTTCATGTAAAACTTTTTACTGAATTTGGTGGGGTGCAGATCAGGCCCTGAGGATTGGATCTATCTGGCTGAACCTTGGGCACATTGCTGAGGAGCTCCAGCTTTCTTTTGGGGTGCCATCCCCTGTGTGCTGAGTGTTGACATTCCCACTGACAGGAGTAGCTGGCTCAGTGCAGGTGCCTCAGCCTGACTGGTTGTGCTTCTCTTTTTTGCCTCTTGGAGTTCCTCCTTGAGCTGTGGCTTGGGCCCAATTTTTCCCAAGACCATTTTTGTATAGGGACTGTTGCATGCCTCTCCATACCCCTGTAACTGGGATGTCCCCAGGTTCCCTCTCCAGTTTAGTGCAGGAGGAAGGTTAATCAGTCATAGCAATTCAGTATTTGGTTAATTGTGTTTTAATCTGCAAATAAGTTGCATTTTCAGTCTTACAACTGAGAAATTTTGTTTTGTGGGTTTAGACACATTTTTTCTTCTTAAGAGAAGAAAAGGTCTCTTGGAGCATTTTAAAAATCTCAGTGGGCTGTCTCCTGCCTGCCTCAGTCCACCAAGCTACTACCTGCTGTAGTGAAGTGTTAATATTTGTATTTCAGCTGTTAGCAGATAAAGGATACCACCCCACTTCAGCCTTCATCTTGCCTGCAAAACTTATTTTCTCCTATTTAAAACTCATCAGGTTGCTGTTGCTGACAACTGACAATGTTTGACCTTTTGACACTATCATTTGTGGGAATTCAAAGTTTCAGGAGAATAAGAGGAAATACTGGAGAAAAATGTATTCTGTTCAATTTCTACAGCTTTGGGGCTGAAAAAAAAGTGTTGGAAACTGGGCTGATTTGAATAGCTTTTAAGACAATGAGTTTATAAAAGGACATTTGTTCATTACTTTATAGGGAAGTGAGAGCCTGGGAACTTACTGCTGGCACACTTGACTTTTTTTCATTTTTGCTGTTTCAGGCCACTAATAACACGTTATTTTCTGACTAGTGCCTTACTGCATGTAGAATACACTTTATAGTGTTAATATCCACCTCCTTTGACAGCAGGCACTTAGAAACAATTTATGCATTTGGTGAAGAAGACAAGGACTAGAAAAAGGGGCCTTACCACCAGCCTGAGGAAACCTGCAGGAGGAAAGCAGATAGAGAGAAGAGCTGGTCTGCCTGATGTGGTTGGGAGGACCAAGCTAAAGGCTGCAAGAGAAACGCATCCCCTCCCTCTGCAGCTGTCACAGGTTTCCTCAGTTCCCAGGTTGATTTGTGGGTGTTGAGTGAGCAAACCTGAGAGCTGACTCCCTTGTTTGTGATCAGACTCACAACAAAACTCCTCCTGCTGTTCGGGGCCTGTTTGGCTGCCTCATCCTGTCCTCTCCTCCTCCTTCTCCTTGCTGCCAGATGCCTGCATGGACAACACATTCTTCAGTTCTCTGTCCCAGAACTCTCCATATAATGCCACTGAAGCAAAAACCACTTCTCACTGCCAGGATGATGTATCCTTCTCCTTACCACCTCCCTGGGCTCTAGCCTTTCCTGCACTGTAACACTATAAATGGCTCTTATCTTAAATCCCTTCTCAGTTTTCTCAGTGCTATGCCCATAATGTGCAGTAGCTCTGTGAAACATCAACTTCTTGCTGCCTTCCTTTGTGCTTCTCTTCCTTCCCCTTCACACTGTCCATTTTCTCTAGCCTCACCTAGCAGTCTAGATCCCCACATCCCCCTCCCTCCTGCAGGTTCCCTTTTCATCCCACCATGGCTGAACTTTCACTGGATGTCTGATCTGGTCCTCTCCAAAGACAGGGAGACACTTCGCCCTTCTTTGAAGCTGCCTCAGCACAATAGTACTAGGATGAAGCAATGTCTGCCAGCAGCAGGTTTTGCTGACTGCCCTCTACACCACAGCATCATGCATTAAATGTGAACAAGTGTCCTGCTGGAGGACTCAGCTTTCCAGATCCTTTTCATCGTTTTGTGCTTTAGAGTTGCATGAAAACTTCCAGCTGCTCTAATAACCCTGCCAGCATAAAGTGGGACAGCCTGCAGCTGCACCATGTGTGGATCTGGGAGCCAGAGGACCCGAGGAGCTGGACTCAGTTTGGGGCCCATTATCTGCAGTTGTCATGAGGGCTACGAATCAGCAGCTGTACCAATGCATTGGGACACGTTTTTATCAGCTGGATTAGTGACAAGAGAATAACGTATGGGCAGTACCTTCCAACACCCACATCTGGCATTTCTCAAGGGTGTTGCACTTTAAAGGGAAGCCAGCATTTTATTTGCACTGACTGATTTCTGCTAAGGTTCCTCTGAATCCTGCAAATAGTTATAAAATTGTTGGCAGATCACACTTGTGCAGTCCCTGAAATATGCCAGCTGCTTCTTTCCAGCTTAGGTTTCTCCCAGCTATGGGCAGAGATGGAGTAGAAGCCAGATTTATTCCCTGAGTGCCTTTGGGTTTGTGGCTAAATACGGTCAGGCTTTGTGCCTGGGTTCAGGGCGATTGGTATCTTTTGTCATGTTTTGTTTGTACACTGCTCTGATTCCAGCCTTCCTGTTCCACATGGGACCTATAAGCAAAACACTTTGGATAGTTAGAGGGGATGATCTCTGGTCTGCCTTGCTCCCATGCTTCCATCCAGAGCAGGAGAAGAGAAACCACTTGAAAAACAAGCATAGTTCCCTCTGCAGCAGCTTAGTTCACCTGGCCTC